CATCGAATCTCACCCGAGTGTCTTTTGATATCAAATATATCTACATGAGTCGATAAAAAATAAAACTTCGAGGCTGGCAAAGGAGTTTTAGACTTTTATCGACAAATGTTGACATAAGAGATTCTATTTTATAATATCATCCAGCATCATTCTTCCAACTTTTGATTTGTAAGCAGTTAAAAAGAACTGCTAACCAGCTTCAGTAGCAGAGAGATTAGTGATGTCTTTTGATTGTGACGTCATGGTCATGGATGATACCACAATGGTGTGCAAAGCATTGTGATGCAATTTCATTGCAGTGATGTCTTCGCCAGTTATGGATGAAAGGTAACATCATCTGTACCAAACCTTCGCACTGAAAGATTAAAGAAATTGAAATCCATACCTCAACTGTTTCTTCAGCGGTGTTTTCCTATTCTGAGAAAGTTCAAAATTAAAGATTAGATTAAAGAGGACGCCATATATGTTTGAGCCCGGCCTTCTGTTTCTCTTTCCAAATACACATCTTCAAAATGGGTTAAACTCAAATTGTACAGTTTATCGTGACGACACGTTGAAGTATCTACAAACATCTTTGGCTTGTCGTCATCAGCCTGTCATTCCTACAGGTTCCTGTGACTCAAACTATTCCCATTCACAGCATGAAAAAAACCCATTACGACATATTCCTATGAAACCCCGTTGTGTGAGCCCCGGTAGATGTACCTAATGGTATTACTGAGTCATCTTTAGAAATGCTTTTAAGCGGTACCCGTTGATCATGGGACCCGGACCCCTTACGCGAGATCACTGAACTTTAAACATAAGACCACCGTCAACAACGAATAGGCGACTGTCTGCCCTATAGCTATAAATCATGAGGTAATGACACACACGGGGGGACCCATGAGGGGTACTATCCGATTGGACGAACGGGTAACGGGAGTACAATGGTGAATCCTTACCATCACCCCATCAGGTCACTGCACATGCGCACTGAACCATCCTAGTGAGTACGATCGTGTCTGGCAACAAGGAAGCGCTAGGGACAAATCATATCCGTGAAGCCCCCTGGTCATCGTGAGTGAATTTACCACGCCTTCTAGTGTTGAAACGGGTACCAAAATCAGTATTCCTCCACTCATTAGTAAGTACTCACACGCAAATAACGAAGCACAACGTGCAAGTGCTTACATTTTGAAAACGTTACACAAATAATAGGAAATACATAAAGTTTATGTTTGGTGTGTCCTTATTTCAGTCGTTTGTTTTAGTACAAGTTGACCCTGCTACCACGGTGAAAATCGATGATGAGTTGGTTTGATGTTGTGTTTGTTGTTGCATTTGCATTAGAATTAAGGGTTACTGGGTTAAATGTTAGTGTCCAGAACAGGGTATGGATATTCTTGTGATATCTGTTTTAAAATTGTTACGTACCTGCGATTTATGGTCTTTAAAAGCGTGTAAAAGAAATGTACATATTTGCTTACAAACACACACACACACACACACACACACACACACACACACACACACACACACACACACACACACACACACACTGGCTACGCCCCTGCCGAGTACTGGGAGCAACCGAGCCCACTAATGTATCTTTAACCATCGAGTTCACATTAACACGTTAGGTAGCTATATCATGTAAATATGTTTAAAATCAACCACAACAATCATTTTGACATTTTAACCGTCAAACTTCAAATCAACCGTTCAGGCAAAAACAGCAGACAGGCAATTCTTCAACCACAGTTGGAATGGTCGATGTACCACGTCAGCTAAGAAAGGGAGGTAATTAAGCTGAATAATTTACTACGTAACACTATACGCGAGTTGTTACCGTCTTGGCATGTGTCGCCAGCGGGACTCCCATTGTCTGATTTAAGGACGTGTAACAGTCAACCACATGGTAGAGCGGTGTGAAATAATTATTAATAATTAAATATGTTTGAATATTTGTATAATACTTAAACGCTTAGAGAATATTTTGTATATTGTTGTGTTTCCCACAACTATGCTCCTGTTAATATAATAATGAGATAGAGATATGTGATATAGTAACTACAGATATAATTGTGTAATTATTGAATACCTATTGACATTAACATATTAAGCAAAGAAAATATATAATATATTATCCTGATGAGAAATCTGGTGTTCACGCGAATGATAACGTTTCTGACCACTGTTAATCGTGTGGGTGGGGTTTGGGTTGGGGGTGAGGGATGGGGGTGAGGGATGGGGGTGAGGGGAGGAGGTTAAACACATGTAGAAAATATGTATACTGAATATACTCACGTATTCATATTCAAGTATACTGAATATGCCAACTATAATGTGGCCTTAAGGCTACGATTGGAGGACCTTAACGCAGACTAAGGCTTAATATATTTAATACTTTTTGTTACCATTTTATCAAAGTTTATATGCTATGCTATTTTATTGTATTGAGTGTCTCATAGGCCTGAAGGCCGGGTGTTGGCATTTTAGCCTAATCCTTTCTGTGTATATTGTAATATAACATATGACACAATAATGAAATAAATTTCTTCTTCATCTTAATACAGGGGGGCACGGGTACCCAAGTCGTCTAAGACGCCGCAATTCGCTGTGCAGGGTTGCGTCCCTTTGTAACGCCAGAAACCTATGATTGTGGGTTCAAATCCCGGTTCGCCCCGATTATGTTTCTAGGTTTGTCAGCACCACACCCGTGCTCGTGTATTTCACCGAAGTGGTAAACGTCTGAGACCTGCATCACTTCGGGCTTTCCTCCCACATTAAGCTGACACGCTTCGATATAACTGGAATACTGTTAAAAGCGTCGTTAAACCCAACTCACTCACTCACTCTTCTTAATACATAGAGTCTTCTGAAGCGTCATTAAAGCACCCTGACTGATTCGGCTAAATTTCCTTCAGCCCGTGAACAACCACTTGACTAGACAAAAACGTAAATGCCTCACATACACTTTCGACAGGTATTTTCCCTACGTATGGTTGATGACGGTTTATGGGTATGTTCCCCTAGATCTGCCACCACTAGACATATGATAACACACATAGGAAAGAGCATTCACTTCGTCTCATCGAAACATTAAAAATAAAGCATCATAAATCGGTTGCCCCCGATCTGTCCACTACAACCAGGAAGTCATGCACAGAACAAAGTATAGACTTTGCACATTGTGTATTGATGTAAACAGTGCACCCCGTCTGATTACATTGTACTTAATATCGATGTGGAGAGATTGATCCTTGGACTGTGTACTATTTTATATTAGTCTCTATCTATCTATTTCTCTCTCTCTCTCTCTCTCTCTCTCTCTCTCTCTCTCTCTCTCTCTCTTAATATCGATGTGGAGAGTTTGATCCTTGGACTGTGTAATATTTTATATTATTCTCTCTCTCTCTCTCTCTTAATGTCGATGTGGAGAGATTGCTCCTTGGACTGTGTACTATTTTATATTAGTCTCTCTCTCTCTCTCTCTCTCTCTCTCTCTCTTAATATCGATGTGGAAAGATTGATCCTTGGACTGTGTACTATTTTATATTAGTCTCTCTCTCTCTCTCTCTTAATGTCGATGTGGAGAGATTGCTCCTTGGACTGTGTACTATTTTATATTAGTCTCTATCTATCTATCTCTCTCTCTCTCTCTCTCTCTCTCTCTCTCTCTCTCTCTTAATATCGATGTGGAGAGTTTGATCCTTGGACTGTGTAATATTTTATATTATTCTCTCTCTCTCTCTTTCTTAATATCGATGTTAAGAGATTTATCCTTGGACTGTGTAATATTTGATATTACTCTCTCTCTCTCTCTCCCAACTTTTGTTTCATGTCCAACCTACTCTAAACATGTAACATTTTTTTCATGCCCTTCCCTTTCCCCCCACTATAATTAATGACCAGTCCCTTACTTATGTCAAAATTTACAAAAAAACAAAAATAGAAATGTGTCATTATTTCATGCCCGCCTCTATAGTTGTGATAAATTTGGGCCCCGATCTCATCGCCCCCTCCCCCAAAATAAATGACCAGCCCCTAAGCAAATGGATATAACGCGTAATAACGAGTCGAGGTGGTACATAGTCGGGAACAAATACGGATATAAAAATGTTACAGCTTTTAATAGTGAAACTTGTCAACATGAGGAAGCTTGACATACTTCCCATACAATCCTATCACTGAGTGTCAACACATGCATAAATCTGATAATGAGAGTTGTGTTTGTAACCCTTTTGAAAGCCAGAACGAGATATTGATTTTTTTATAACAACTGCCAGGCAAAATATATACACCTATGTTTGATAGTGGCTAGAAAAGAAGCAAACAAGAAATGGTTATTCGATGGGTGTGCATTTGATCATAATAGTGTTTTGGACGTTAAGTTTGCAGTGTTTCGGTGACTGTATTCAGCCTAGAATCGCTTTGACAACATTTGTAATGTTTTCGTCAAATCCAATTTTCAATTTAGATTTTGACCACACTATTGCACGTGTTACATGAGGTCATTAACTTACTTTAACAAATGCAGTTTGCTATATACCTTGTGAAATTATTTTAAAAATAGAAACCGGAAACATGGTAAGTCAGCACTGATGTGTGAACATGCTTCGGGCTTCTTTAATGAAAGTTAACAAATTGACGTCAGAGGGAACGTGCGTGTATGAATACACATGCTTATAAATCACGACCTATTTACTCACTCGGAGGGGAAACAGAGGACTTCCTTCATTTTTCAGAGCATCACAATTCCTACACCCTTTGTTTGTTTACAAAAGCGCCAGTGAGAAGCAGGGGGCGTGGCTAGTGAAGTCAAGATCGATCTCGACCGCGTAGCTCGAATACGTAATGCATTGAAAATCGTATCCGTAAAGAAACGTATTTTGGTCACACTCCTCCCATATGCGGCCATGAACAGTGTTGATTGGTCGTCCAGGATACATTATAGGGGTGATAGATAGGTCACACGATAGAATATTATTAACGAATCTACTTCCCTTTCTTAAATTAGATGATGCGTATAGCTGAACGTCACATGACTCGGTCACGTGGTGCTTCATTCACTGTATTTTCCATGAAAATGGGAATACCAGGGACGCCCACGTTCGTCGTATTTGGATAAATTGGGGGAGAATTTGTTCGGAGAGTATTCAGTATCCATCGCCGTACACGTGAAGAGGTTTAGCAGAAATAACAGACAACATGGACATCATAGCAAAGGTAACGCTATTTTATGTTTCTGCCTTTAATTTATAAAAAAAGAACATATCTGTTTGAATTTATGGAAACACAAGTTTATGTTATTGTTTTATATAATTACAGAGCTCCAAACAACATGTTGAGCAATTAAGTTTTTACTCAAAGGTTTTTATTTTAATTGGGCTTTTACATTTTTCGTTGGGTAACCAATATTTTTTCACTCATCTCTTCATCACTCTATTGGGTTTTTCCCAAAATAAGTAAACATTTTGTGATTTAAAAAATGTATTAGATGATTATAACGGTTCTAACTATAGGCTTGATTCAGAAAAGCTCGTAACTGTGATTGGGAAATTAGCTCCGTTGTACGCATGCTAACAAAGCTTCATTGGGTATTTACGCGTTGTGTTTTTATACATTTGAGTTTTTCATTTAATGCATGCGTTTCTGTACGCAAGTTAATTGAAAGTAATTGGGTTTTGAACATTAATTTATTTTTTAAATTTGGGGGGCGGGGATGGGGGTATTTTTACGCAAATACGCAGCTTATCTATAGTTCTGAAATTATAATTCGTAAAACATGCAAAAATATTTCAAGAAAAACATTTCACTTTGAAATCTTTACTGTTACAAACTTTTCTCTCTTTGCCAGGACGCAACGAATACTGTGTTGAAACTGACTCGCTATGCAAAGATTGGGCTCAGCAACACCAGGAAGTACTCAAGCAAAGCAGGGGAGAAATTGACAACACCAGGGAGACGATATGCACATCAGAACATTGCTGTTGCAGGTACAACAAATTTGACGTTTTTCCTGTCGCATGAAATTGACATGTTTTGATAGGGAAGTGAATTTGTGTTTTGTAAAATATCAGACCATGTTGGAAAGTAGGTGACATTTGTCAATAACAAGGAAACTGCAGCCATGGGGAATACTTATATTGCTGTTGTGGCAACACGCCAGCTGAAACTGTATGCAGAACAGAAGATAGCTTTATACTGCCACTAAAGAACCTGTAAGTCCGAGCAATAACGCTCTCGAGAGAGCATGCAGTAATGCAATCATTTTTGTATTGTAGATAAAGCTTACTTCAGCACATTCATACGTGTTCAGAAATGATTCGCTGTGAAACCACCCCTTACCTTTTGACGCCGGTGTAAGATCGATCTCATCTGCCCGGTTGACAAGTACGATCTGACAGTTTCGTTTTAACATATAGTTTTCAAAAGGTGTCGTTGTGACGTTGATGTGCTTAACGTCGTATGATCCGATATCATTATTCTTAGATGTCGTCATGCTGTATCGTCGTATGCTGCGATGTCGTTATGTTGAGATGTCGAGTAGCATCTATTAGGGCTGGGACGGGTAACTCGGGTACTCGGGTCGGATGGGTCCTGAGTAGGACTCGCGTATCCACAGTACTACCCGGTTAGTCACGTGATAAGTTGTTAAATGACAAAAATTATCTTAAACTCTATGGCTACACTACAAGTCACTAATGTTCCCATTTCTTTCTGACAATGCACCCATTCCTTCTGACTTTTATATGTCTGAGTAAACATAAAACTTCATGCGGTAAACAGATCGCTTTACACGTGTATCTAAATACATTTTGCCAGGGCTAAGGTCAAACGTTTCCAAATCTGACAGTTTGTATCTATCTCTAAATATCTACAGCGGGTACCCAGGTAGGGTCGGGTAATAAGGTGGAGGGTACCCGGGTAGTAAGTTTGGACTCGTCCCATCCCTAGCATCTATCAACCATTCGTTTGTCTTTCAGAAGCCAATCTTCCTGCAACTAGCGTCACCACTTGGATCTCCCACCTCGCTGCGGACACCACGCGGGCCGACCTTTCTGACACTGTCGTCCACCGTTCTCAACGTATGATGCTTGACACCCTTGGGGTGGGGATTCTTGGCTTCAAGACCGACATCACCCAGACTGTCCTGAGATGTGCGCTCAACACAGGAGCCATGGATGGAGCAGGCTCCTCTGCATCTACCATCTGGGGCTCCAAAGGACAGAAGGCCTCTCCAGCTATGGCAGCTTTTCTCAACGGCATCAACGTTCACTCTATGGACTTTGACGACACCTGGTACCCAGCCACGCACCCTAGCGGTCCGGTTCTGCCATCAATTATCGCCCTTGCTGAGACGATGACAGGAAGTTATCAACCAACCACAGAAGATCTTCTTGTGGCATACAACGTTGGCATAGAGGTACAGGGTCTCTTGCTCAGATGCTCCGAGATCGCAAAGGAGATCCCTTGCAGGTAGGTGACGTCTATTTCATATTAAGTCCAATGTTGAAGTAGGGTAGCCTAGTGGTTAAAGGGTTGGCTGGTCACGCCAAAGACCCAGGTTCGATTTTCGGAACGTTTGTGAATCCAATATTTAGTGACCCCGGCGTGATAGGGTTCGAATATTGCTGAGTGCGGCGTAAAATTTCACACAATCACCCCTTCACGCCAAGTTTGAGCCCCCATTAATGTGGTTTAATCGGGACCTTATGACAATACAGTCGCCAGATTATATATCAATACAAGTATTTTGTAATATACTTTTGTATATTGGGGCACGGTGGCACGTCTAAAGCGCCGCAATTAACTGTGCAGAGGTGCGTCCCATGGGCACGCCAGAACCATATGGACCGTGAGTCCGAATCCCGGGCTCGTGTCTGGGCTCGTGGGTTTTACCAAACTGGTAAACGTCTGAGACCTACATCACTTAGGGCTTTCCTCCAATATTAAACTGACACGCCGTTATGTAATAATTATTGGAATTTGTTAAAAGCGGTGTTAACCCTAAAGCAGTCAATCACTTGTACATTGTATATTGACATTCCCCAAACCAACAGACTTTGTCAAATGGTTCCATGAGGCGCTTGATGATTTTATTATTGATTATTTATTCTACCATCATCAGTGTAAATATCCTGCTATTTCAGGTTTCACCCTCCTGCTGTTGTTGGGGTGATGGGCAGTGCCGCGGCCTCAGCTCGCCTCTTGGGTTTGGGCCCACACAAATCTCGCCACGCTCTCGCCATCGCCGCATCATTTGCAGGTGCACCTATGGCCAACGCCGGAACAACCACGAAACCATTGCATGCCGGGAAGGCCGCCCGTTTCGGCCTGGAGGCAGCCCTGTTGGCGGACCATGGATTGGAAGGCAATCACGACATCCTTGACGTACCTTCTGGTTACGGGGCTTTCTATGATGACTACGACCCTGAGGAGTTCCTGTTTGCCCATTCCAACAACGAAGACTTTGTCCTCCACAATCAAGACATCGCCATCAAGAGATTCCCCGCGCATCTGGGAATGCACTGGGCAATTGACGCCACAATGGGAGCCAGGGATCAGATCTGCCAGACCGCGAGAAGAATAGTTCCAGAAGAAGTGTCCGAGGTCCACATCATGGCCCCAAAGTCTAAATACATCAACAGGCCACTTCCATCAACCGAGCATGAAGCCCGCCATTCCTTCCAGTTCAACGTGTGCACGGCTTTGTTAGATGGTCACGTGTCACCCGATTCCTTCACCCATAGTTACAGACGCCGCTCTCCTCTCAACCAGCTGTTGTCAAAAACACGCGTCAGTTGCCCCGAGGACAACATCCCCACCTTCAACGACATGTACGTGGAGGTCCATGTGACAATGAGAGACGGGACTCTTGCCAAAAGTCGCTGTGACACCCCCTACGGACATTGGAGGAACCCTCTGACTGAGAAGGATCTTGAGGGAAAGTTCCTAGCCAACACGAAAGACATGTCGTACCAGTCTCAGATCCAACTCATCAACACCATCAAGAACATGTCTGCAGGGAAACCAGCGACAGAGTTCCTGGAAGCTCTCAGAGACTAATGCTATGAAGACGTTGGGAACTTACAAGGCAATAACGTTCATTTATTGAACAAAAGTAAATTAACCACACGAAAGGTTAATCAACGAATAAAGTTTCACGAACGAATTTCAGAAACCATACAAACATTAGATGATGCTATTAACTGCTAATGAGTGAGTGGGAATGGTTTTACCCGCTTGCAATACCTGGCTAGTGTGAATCATACATATATCATAACCCCGGTCATAGTCTTTTCTGTTGACGTACTGAGGATCTTTCTCAGTGTGTGGATGGCTCCGTACATGTCCTATGATTAACGGGACCTCCGGCAGAGAAGCACATGTGCTTGAAGACTACTTACCAAATTCATCACGATTCGGGCTAACCGTCTAATTGACGGTCTTACAAATGAAATATATATGTGGACATAACCCAATGGATGTGTAAAGGGAAAGTTTAATGATGTATTTATATATTTATCAAAGCCCGGTATGCATTGACAACTGGGACTACGTGTTACTGGGGAGTAGGCTGGTGCTGTAATCAGTTGTCTTCATGTATCATCGTGTACAGAAACGTGAAACGTATTCACATTACCTTCAATTCTAGTCTGAGTATGTGGATGATCCATACATATATATGTACATATATGTTAGTTTGTGTGTATGGATGTTCTATGCATATTCAAATGTGTCGTTTTTGTCTGATACTAATCGTTTCGTAAAAAATGAAATGTATATACGTATATAACTTTTGTAATTAAGTATAATAAAAGGAAGTTTCTAAAAAACATTTTTTTGTATCTGTTTCCTTGAAAGGTTACGCCTTTCTTTAACAATAGAGTTTATTTATGTTGTAACATTCGGTATCGTATTGTTTACTGACCACAGGAAAACGCACCAGGAAAGAATGTTTTCCGTAACTATATAATAGTTACTTTCGGTACGTTTGATTTCGTTGACGTTATTGAAACTAACTGAACCTGATTTCAGGTGTACAACTGACTTGCCTTTGCATGTGTTTGTGACAGGTGCCACTGGTGGGGCAGGATAAGCTGACCTTTGCGCAAACAGCTGGTGTCTTCACTGTTTGATAGTGATTCATTAACCCATGGTCAAGATATAGTCAGAATCGTACAATATATTATGAATATTGAAAAGTTTTGTAGCTTTTATTTAACCTAACTTTACCTGACTGAACCTCACTGAAACTAAGTCAACCTGAATTAAACTTATTAAGCCTCACTAAAACTAACTGAACATGACTGAACCTAACAACATGATTGAACACGGCTGAACCTAATTAAATCTAACTGACACTAAACGAACAATACTGAACCACACACCCTGACTGAACATGACTGAACCTAATTTAATCTGACTGAACATGACATCACCTAACTGGATCTGACTGCAACTAACTGAACATGACTGAACCTAAATGAATCTGACTTAACATGACTGAACCTAATTGAATCTGACTGAACATGATTGCACCTAACTGGGTGGATCTGACTGCAACTGACTGAACATGACTGAAACTAACAACCTGACTGAACGTGACTGAACCTAATTGAATCTGACGGAAACTAACTGAAACCTGACTGAATTTGACTGCACATGACTGAACTGAACCGAGTTTGGGGCGTCTTGTCAAACCCCATTTACTTAAATTAATTCTCGTCCCCGCATATATGAAAAGGAAACACAGTTAATACAAAGGACACGTTAATTCGACTTCACGTCCGGTCTATGCATAGACTCGTAAGTCCAGCCAAAATACAACTTACTCCATAATCCCAGCCTATTTCGGCAAGGGTGGAAACTGGACTTTTACAGTCAGTTAACTCCCTTGCCTCGTGAAGACTTAAATACTTCTACCAAAGAGACTTTTTTAGTCGACTCATGGTCAGATACATAACTGCTGATCAAATGACATATTTAATCGACTTCGAGAATGGCTATTGTAGTCGACTCTAACTGAGTGATTATGGTTTAACGGCACTTTGAACAGTATTTCTGCATCACCGCGTCTGAGCGTGGGAGGAAAGCCAGAAGTGATGCAGGTCTTGAATATTTATCACTTTGGTGAAACCAGCGAGCACAGGTATGGTGGTGACAAACCTAGAAACATAATCAGAGCGAACCGGGATTCGAACCCACGATCATAGGTTTCTAACACGAGAAAGGTACGCAACTCTCCACAGCAAATTGCGGCAACCAAGATGATTGAGGGACCCGTGACCTCAGTTGCATTTAAGAATTTAACTTAATTTTAATTTAACTTGAAACCGCTTAAGTCCTCATATCCACGTACGCGTGATAGGGTCACCTGGGGTAGCCATGTGGTTAAAGCGTTCGATCGTCACGCCGAAGGCCAGGGTTCGAGTCCCACATTGTACAAAGTGTACGCCCTTTTCTGGTGTCCCCCGTCGTGATATTGCTGGAACAGTGCTAAAACCATACTAATTTACTTACTAGCTTATCTGGATCGGGACGATTTCATTGTGAACGCTACCATCCAAATTAGAAGGGGGGGGGGGGGGGGGGGGAGTGGTTCATTTCACCCATTAAAGTTGTCGAGACAAAGGGTGTAGTATTTGTTGAGACTGAAATTAGTATAAGATGTATAAAATTAAGTGCACGTGCACGAACGCCGGGCCTCTAATAGAAGCCGGGTCATTTGTTCAGTGCAAAAAATAGAAGCCGGGCCTCTAATAGACGCCGGGCCTCCAATAGACGCCTGGTCAGAAGCCCGGGCGTCTAATAGAGGAAATACGGTAGGCAGAGAACTATTGCTCACAAACGCATTATCCTCAAAACACTGCAGGGAGGTTAACTTGCACGACAAAAACATACCACGTGCATTAATAATGATCAACGTAGATCGTCAGCCGCTTCCAAGAAACTGTAATTCTCGAGTGTTTGTGTGTCTGTATGTACACCATGACTAACCAAAGCACCGAGGTCACCCACGGCGTCACGTGACTTCCCCGTTTTAACGTGGGACGTGCCAGTTCAAGGGGACCACTTCCTGAATCTTTGTGTGATGATAACATATCGACAGGAATATGTGGAATAATAAATCAACGCTCATACACTGAAGTGACCGTACACGTAAGTTAACAGTTTCATATGAGAAGAACGAAGAACATCACCGCCAAGAAAAGGCACGTCACTATCTCTATAAGCCACATGCAACCCCGCAATTTGATGTCTCTTGTTATCATAATAATATCAACACATACACATACATGTTCCTTAATACACAACAAATATGTGTTCATTATAACAAAACGCATAGGGTTCATTATAACAACTTTTAATACAGGTGTGCATTATCACACAACACATAGTAATTTACTATTACTGACGTAGTGATAGTGAAGAGTTTTAAAAGCAACGCATGCACCCCTCTATATAGTTTTTACGTGCTAATCAGGACGGTGAACGGTAGCCTAGTGGTTAAAGCGTTCGCCTTTCACGCCGAAAACTCGGGTTCGATTCCCCACATGGGTCGATGTGTGAAACCCATTTCTGGCGTCCACCGCCGTGATATTGCTGGAATATTGCTAAAGGCGGCGTAAAACCATACTCACTTACTAAAGAGCAAATCCCACGTCATTCGTGACCAACTCGTGTTATTTCTTGCAGGTCACGGAAAGGGGCGAGTGGTGACGAATGATCCCCCGTGGAGATTCATGTTACCATAGCTCCCCAGCACACTGCATGCTGGTCGCAAGAGGTGGCCTCATTCGATCAGGCTTAGTGACTTCGTTGTGCATGTCATCCAACCACGGCGACGTGGAGCGGTGCTCATACTATCAGTCACTGGTTTGTCTGGTCTAGTTTATTTACATTATTTGTTTGTTTGTTTGTTGTTTAACGCCGCACTCAGCAATATTCCAGATATATGACGGCAGTCTGTAAATAATCGAGTCTGGACCAGACAATCCAGTGATTGACATCATGAACATCGATCCAAGCAATTGGGGTTACGATGACTTGCATCAGCCAAGTCAACGAACCTGACCACCCGATTCCGTTAGTCATGGTTGTCTTTCACGGGCTGCCACTATATAGCTGGAATATTGCTGAAGTCGAAAACACTATCCGAATCAGAGCGCGAAAGTGCAAAATATTGCCTTTTTATCACAATTCACACGATGACAGCCCAAACAGTAAGGTCAATTGTTAGAGGTAGTACCTCTGTCATAACAAGAAACATAGCGTCCTATTAAAAGTCTCTTCTCAATCTGCACTCTTACGGACTACAGTTTGACGATGTTACTGTCTGTGGGCTTTTGAGTTCTTTATCTACCTTTACTGGCGTGCCTTTTCCTTTATTACTTGGTGTATAAATGCTTCAGGCAGTTAAATATGCACAAAGTGCATTCGTCGTCTATATAGTGTTTGCTATTGACAATCCTTCACGCCAAGCGAAGTGGATGAGTATATAAATCGACGATTATCATATATCGTTAAATATAGCTGCAAAGTACTTCTTGCATTCCTAATGTTGATATATGACATGATGGATATATAGAGGATTCATCACGAGTGTTTTTTAATATGGGAAATATCAACCGAGTCTTAGTTAATCGGTATTTGCCGAGCCTTTGGCGAGGCAAATACCGATTAACGGGACGAGGTTGATATTTCCCATATTAAAAAACACGAGTGATGAATTCTATTTATCATTTTCACATTTTTGCTTCCCAATTAAGGAATAATTGCATTAAACATTAACATCAGCAACTTGTCGAAATCTTACGTATAGATCGTGCGTAATGATACATGTTTTCCATAGCCATGTAAACCAAAATAAACAATTCGCTGAGAAAAAAAGTTCCTCGAACAGACTTTCGCAGAATAATTGAAACTTTAATAACGGTAACAACAACGATTCTGTATAATCTGATTATATCTCTGGTGTAACTTCACTTATAATATATAGTTTCGAATCAAACCGCTCGCTCTTCCGGTTATCTAATTTGCATATGTAATTTGCATACTTATGTCATTGGGGTATGACATACATGTTTTTATGTCATAAGCTTATGTCATGGATAAATGCTTAAGTTAAATGATAAATCAAAGTACCTCCATTCAGGAACATAGCCGCAAGGACAACAAGAAATCAAGGCAAATGTTTGGTAATACAGATGCGCTGAAATTGAAAGCCCCAAAGAAATGTATTTATATCCACCGATACTCATAATGATAACAACAACAACAACAACAACAATAACAACAACAACAACAGAATACTACTACCAACAATAACAACAAAAACAAGAACACTACTACTACAACTACTGCTACAACTACTGATATTACTACAACAACAACTACTACTACTATTACTACAACTACTACTACTACAACTTCTACTGATATTACTACAACAACATCAACAACTACTACTACTACTACTACTACTACTACTATTACTACAACAACTACTACTACAA